TGTGAGTAGTTGTAAAGACGACTTTTCCTCAATATGATTTTGAAATATGTTGCTGGAATGATAAGGCTCTATTTAGGCTGCTAAGTGATCATTTTTTCTTTATGTAACCTCATTTTGTTAAACTATTAATGCATGAGTATCATGAATTATTCCTTTTGAAAATACTGGGTGAACACTTGGCTAATATAAACCTTACCAGTATCAGATTAATTTTTGTTTTTTAAAATTTTTACCCTTAATTAGTTCTGGATCATAATCTAAAACCATGAAGAACAATACTCACGTTTCATTTACATCTCGGTTGAAATTTTAGAAAACTCTCGTGCAATCATGTATGAAAGATACAGTAGTGCAATTTTATATTAAGATTAGAAGAGAGACTCCATATGATATATTATTCAAATAAGATGGAATAAACCTTCTTCATTACTAGCTGGGAAAGTTGCATTTATGTTTTGCGAATTCACAAACATTACAATAAAACCTTTAACATTAACTACTTTAAAAAGAGAAGGAAACTCGGTCTTTAAAATTCCAATCAAGGATGACTAAAGCTTTGTTTATGACAACTTTCTTATTACTTTTGTCAAAAGAAAAGTAACCAATGTAAAGCACTGTTTGCTTGGTTGACATTTTTTAAAATTGTCTTAGAAAAGCTACTCTTGGGAAAACATAATGAAGTTGTGGTTGGAAAAGAAGCTATTAATAATGAAAAAAAAGCCCAAATGAAGCCCAAGACTTTGAATATAAATTAATGGTGTTTTTATTGAGGAAAGGAATGACAAATATAGGCCATACTCACACTCTTTGAATTACTTGATGTGTCAAGAAAGTAGAGTTCATAATTTTTTATAGCGAGTCCCATGTTATTCACCATCTCATTTTTAGATGCCTATTAAGTAAGAAAAAATTTCACTTTGCATTTCATCTTGTGCGAGTTTTTGAATGGAAACTAGGTTTGTAAAAGCTTAGGAATTGTAAGAACATTATTTTAATCAAATGATGGACTGATCTGAATGTCTCTAAATCCTGTGGTAAGAGAGTTATTAATAATAAATATTTTTTTAATTTTTACAAGAAATGTTGGTGTAAAATTTTGATGATAAATGTGTCATACCATATGTTGCACTTGCTTCTTTGATCCAAGAGTAAATGATGACATTATTTGAGGTTTTTAGCCCATAGAAAAGGACAAATTTACTTGAGAGTGCCATGGAACAAGTGCAACTAGACTTAGGCTTTTATAACATCTCTAATAATTCTTAAGAGTCTTTTATTCTCTCTTTTATTAAATTTTCCTTAATCTCGACTTACCTATGAAATTTTTGCGTCGCACCATCATGTGCCTGGCATTGAAGTTTTTGTTGTCCACCACAGTGCTTCCACTCCTTGCTTATTGTGTTGTGTTTGCCATTCAATTTTCAACATTTTTCTTGGTGTGTCTCAATTCTTTTGTAGCAAACAGGCCAGAGATTATCTTTATTTGCTTGATTTGGATTTTAGCTAACTTTGATTTCTTACTTCCAATTGTCAAATGATTGTTCTGTGATTGTCTTCTGATTCCACCCACCATCCATTACATTAGCATACTTCCGGGGCATGAGGATTAATCATTTCTCATCTCGATCTTTACGCTCTTTCAGAGATGGTATCACTTAGGGATGGCACCTTATATTTTCTATGATCAAATTATGCATTTAGAAGTACAAGAAATTCACACACTCTATCCTTTTCTAAGAAAATTTTCACCATAGCTGCATTTTTGCTGCTCTTCAAGTTGTTGGTTTGATAATGATCCAATTTTTGTCACATATTCCTTAAACGGTTAGCATGGTCTGATAGATTTATGGCCTTTTCTTATATTGGTAGTCTTCTCTCTTATCTCATATATTTGGGAAACATCTTTTGCTTTTGAGTATGTCTATGTTATTGTATGCCAAACATCTCTTGTAGTGGCTAGGAACATACATGTCATTCATCGTCTTGTTGGCTTGCAAATTGGCTGGATTAGCCTACTACTAGTCATTTTGATGCATTTTCCGGTGAGCTTTTGTCGTCTCCTCCTCTGGTCACCAATATCTTCTCCGACGAGCTCCCATGAAAATTGAGTTTTCAGTTCGAGCTCGCGTGCCTGCTCGCGAGCCGATTGCTACCAATACGTATTGAGGTTGAAGTCACCATTCGAGCTTGACTCGAGCTCGAACTCATAGTTTGCCAAAAGAGCCGAGCTTGAACTTGGCATGGCTAGAGCTCGACTTGACTAGTTTGCACACCTAGCAGCAATCACTTGATGGATTGCACAAGATTGTGACATTTGGAACGATCAATAACAGACAGAACGTGACAGTGTGCAATTCGGGGCTGAAGAAGATAGCTTCGAAGGATTTTTGACTGTGACATGGAACTATAGTGTGTGGAACCACGATAGGTGGCTGCATTTAACCGCGCAAGCGCCTTTTGTTTGGGTAGCATTCCGGGTCGAAGGTGATTCAGAAGTAATGATGGGAATGAGACATGTAATGAAGCCTGGAGTTTGTAAGAGACTGATTTGGATACGACAAAGTATTCCAGAGGGAGATAAGATGATGATGCTTCGCGGTGACTCCAATTTTTGCAAGACGTTGGTGATGTTGAAGACTATAATGAGGGCAGTTCAGGATGCAAGGTAGTGATTCTTGATTTAGTTGCATATCATGGAAGAGACAGTTGATACAAAATTGGCAAAGATTTCGGAGATCGATAAACTATTGGATGAGTTGTTTGGAGTGACAATATTCTCCATGATTGACTTGAAGTCAGGGTACCATCAGATTCATATGCGATCACAAGATGTGCACTAGACGACATTTCAAGATGTTGAGGGTCGCTACGTGTTTTTGATTAAATGAAAATGATTGTGAGATGATGACGCCATGTGAGAGCCATACAAAGTGATCTAACAACAGTTTTTTTCACTTTGATGCTAATGTGTGTTTTGAGAGAGTAGTAATGTTATGACGACCCCTAAGGGCAATTTAGCCATTTGTCATTTATTATTGTTTAGTATAAAGAGGGCTGATCTATTTAGGGTTAGGGTTTGAAAGAGACCGCCTGCCTCTTGAATCCGCCTGCCTCTTGAATTGTCTTGAATTGTCTATTTAAGGTTAGGGTTTGAAAGAGACCGCCTGCCTCTTGAATTGTAGGTGCTTATCTTTTATGTATTTGAGCGTGTTGTTTAGAGTTATTGTAATAAAATATCTTTTCTGCCTTAATTTCTGCCAAGAATCCTATCAGATTGTTTTTCTACTCGATTGGAAGATGCCTACCACAGAAGAGGGAAGGATGTCTAATGACTATTTTATTTTTGGAAGATTTACATACATACCACTTAATTGCCATGTATTTACATATATAACACCTATACTTCACTGTTTACATGTATGCCACCTTACCAATGCATGAAAGGTGTATTTCACATTTTAAAAGTTAAAAATTCCTTCATTTTTAAATTTCATATGAAAGATTTAGATGGTAGAAATGTAAAAAAGCAAAGTTGAGGTGTTAGATATGTAATTTCACGTCTGATTCTCTCTTCTGGTATTCACATGGGCTTATTTTGATTCTTTAGCATATTAAAAAAAGTGACCATGTAGCTAGATCATATTTGTAGAAAATTATAATGCTTATATTTGTTAAATTTTGGTAGAAACTTTAGTGCTTAAACTAATGTGAAATTAAAATACCCTGCGATTATAGAATAATTGATATCAAAGCATTAAATAAGCAGTGTGTAGGGAGAAAGTGGTAAACAAGCAAACAAACACTACCTTATTTCACTCTTTAATGCAATACATCTCATAGCTCATATTTGCTCTAGATTTAAGTCCATACAAGCATGGATAAATATCTCCTTGGTTGCTCCTTTATAAATATTAGCCCAATTTTTTTTTTAATACACCCAAAATAACTTTTAGATGCTTTTATGAATTTTAAAACATGAGATGATATAATATTTAATTAAAACAAACACAACTTATATTTAAGATATCAAATCTATTTTTATTTCATGTTAAAGCATAAATAAAATAAAAAATGAAAAAGAAGAAAAAATGATCTCAAATGATTCTCTTGGGGCATGTTTGGGCTCATTTTTGTTTATTTCTATTTTATTTTATTTATAATTTGATTTGAGAAAAATATGTTTGGTATCTTAATAATATGTTTTTTTATATTTTTGAATATTAAATAAGTTGATTTATGTTCTTGTTGGCGGCAGTTACAAGTGGAGTGGTGGCATTCAGTGGCGGGCAACAATGATAAGTTGTTTATAAAGACATCTAAAAGTTATTTTTAGTGTTGACAAGAAATGTTTGTTCTCAACTTGCTAAACATATTTTATTTTTAATTAAAACATAAATAAAATAAAATAAATAATAATTGTGCATTCAAGTAGATGCCACATAATCCTTATATATTTACATATTTAACACCTAAACCTTTATATTTACATATACACCGCCTAAATCTTTAATATTACATAAAAAAATCAAGTGTTACTAAATTTTAAAAGCGAATTACTCTTTTTCATGCTTTGGTTTTAACATCAAAGTCCTATAAATGTTAATATGAAACTATATGTGTTAGATATCTGAGTGCATTAGAATTGTGTGGTATTTATGTAAATTTCTCAAAAATGTAAAGTGATCCCAAATACCCCCTTCTTTCCATGACTGTTATTTCCATTCCATATTTCATTTATATTGGTTCTAATACGCTTTAAAGTTTAAAATTCAGTAAATGTGAATAATGCATGTTGAAATGGCAATTATCGTTGGCGTGACTTTTTTCAAACTTTTTTAGCTTTAAACCCCCCTCTCTTTTCTCATATTCACACATGACTCAAGAAACATGACATCGAGACAAAACTCTTCACCAACTCTTGAAATTTTTATTATATTTGCGGTGCTATTTGAAGGAATTTTTTGCATCAAACTAATCACGCTCTATTTCGTTGCGTGCAGGTGAATTCTCGAAGACAATGTCAGATACCTACTTCTGCAAATGATGAATTACCAGGTCCTCTTTGTTAAAAGTAATATTTTCTCAGTTATGTTAACTAGTTTTAATTTATATTATAATTCACCAAAATTTCAAATTTCACCCCAAAACCTAAATAAAACAATGTTGTCTGGATTCTGAGAGGGATTTTTCTGGTCTTATCTGTTAACGACATTCCCATCTTCTAGAGATTATCCTAAAATAACTGGATGAAATGGACTGGGATGCAAACAATTTCATAGCTTGTTTATCTTTGCCGAGCGTTTTGTGAAATGAATAGCAGATATTCTGGAACAACTTTTACTTCTTTTTTTATGTTTTTGGAGTGTACAGCGTGTTTGACATAATCAGTTAATTAATTAGGGTTGATTTGGTAATTTTTTCTGCTTCATGTTTTTGGGCAGCTACAACTGTTTGAAGTTGTCAAGTTGATGCAGAAGAAACTGATGTTAAAAAAATAAGATCACAAGCCCCAATCTTTCTGGAGCCACCACATTTAGCCAGTTCCGTTCGCAAAATGCACTTCCGGGTTTTTGAAAAAAACTTTCTGGAGCCACCACATTTAGCCAGTTCCGTTCACAAAATGCACTTCCCATCACGGGTTTTTGAAAAAGTTTTGAAAAAACAAATAAAATATAGTTTTGTCAAACACCTAAAATGAAGGTGCATCACCTGCACTGTTGTCCCAAACCGAGTTTTTGTGTTGGTTTAGATAGTTTAGTTGAAAAATGTTTTCATGAAATTTAGTAATTATATTTAATATATGAACATATTATTCATAATCATTTTATTTTATTTAAATAATATGAAAATTATAATGAATATTTTTTTTGTCATTTAAAATAGTTATTATTATTATATAGTAATTTCTACTATCTCATCGAGCCTTCATTAATTAAAAGAATCAAAAGGGCGCGCTCCTTGCAACGGTGTCCTATGGGGGTATTTCTCATCACAACAGTAACACAGTCATTTTGCTCATTTATCTTACATTTCTACATCTGTGAGGCGCTTGAAATCACTCCCGAGACGGGCTCCTATATTCTTCTCCTTTGGCGTCATTTTCTGAAATGGCACCGCCTGGTCCTCAGTGTCGTGGTTGTCAAAGTGCCTGTACAGAATCTTCTGGTGATGTCGCGTTTACTGGTCTTCTTCACTTGTTTCTTATCCTCCATCATCTGGGCGAGCTTTATCATTTCCCTCAATCCTCGTGGTCTTAAGGGGTCGATGGCTACTCGTATGTCTGGTTTTAGGCCCTTCAAGAGATTCCTTTTCTTCCTCCATCGTTCTCTTCCATGCCCCTTACACCATTCCAATTTTCGGCCCATCCCCCTCCATCGGAAATCTCCACTCGTCCCACTCTCGAAGTCCTAGAGAGACGCTCTTGTAGGTAGATGATGTCTTATTCACTGTCTTCTCACTCGATCTTCTTCTCTTTTAACCTGGGTAAGGATTCTCTGATCACCCATTGGTTAGTGTTTGCAACTGAAGCGGTCGGCATGGCCTTGGATTATATCTCCATGAGTTTTTTAATCATCACCCAAATTTCTCCAATTCTCTCGAACCCATCCTCTATTCGACTTTCAATGGATGAAAACTCATCATCCATGGTGGCGAATATTTCTTCCATTCCCGATCTGATTTGCCCGCCCTACCTCTCCTTCTAGCACATCCACTTTCTTTGTTGTCATCTTGTCAATATCTAGGCTCTTATACCAATTTGATACGTATCGACACCAAACTCAGTGAACAAACCATAACAAAACGATAATAGAAAGGTGGAAGAAACACAAACAGGGGCTGCTCTTACAAAATTTAAAGGAAAACAAGCAGGATGCAAGGTTGATCTATTATTCGAGAGGTAAATCGTCACTCCCACACCCTAGACGTCGCTAGAAACACCACAAGAAAAAAGAAAACAACAGTCACAACAAAATATGCATGAATCAAACAAACCCTAGGTCAACTCCCTTAATTTCTCCTCCTTGAGTATCTGATGAAGCCCCTCATGGACCCTGCCTGCGCTTGGTTTTCCTGTATTGCGGCAAAGTGCCGCCCCGCTGCTTCGCGTGATAAGAATCGGCCCGCTTCCTTCTGCTGCGAGCCGATTTGATGGCCACCGGTCCCAGATGGACCGGCCTCGTTTGAGTTGTAACATTGTGCCAATACCTACAACAAGCAACAAATTTTCTTACTTCTCCCCACCTAAGAGGGAGAAGCTCCTACCAAGGTCACCAAGCGAGAAACTCTATTTCAAACTAGTTTTTCGCCCGCAGTTGAGATCTCCCTTGTCTTCCGCTTATCTTTTTTTTTTTTCGCTTATATCTTTTTTTTTTTTTTTTTTGAACTTCCGCCCTAAAAACTGCTCTAAGCTTGTACCTTTCAACAATTCAACCTGGCATGCACATTAAGGACAAAAAGAACAAGCCGGCTTTACGATAAGTAATACTCCAAATTTTTTATTCACCATGACTTAGAAGGAAATGGAACTCTTAGAAGGAAATGGAACTCAGAAGGAAATGGAACTCAAAAGCAAAATTTGCAAATTACACCAACTATTTGAGACTTAATTAGTACTTACTAGAGGTGTATATTAGACTAATTCAGATGGATTAGTCGAAGGATTAATTGAACAAAGCGGTTTTGTATAAAAATTTAGAAATTTGAACCGGCCAAAGTTTAAATAGAACTAAACTAAACTGAACAATACTTTGGCTTAGCCAATGTGGTTTAGTTTCATATAAACCAAAACCAGGCACACCTCAATCCTTATTTTAACATGCAATTTGTATTACAAATGCTTCTAGAACATTGTAAGAAAAAAACTTAAAAACCAATAAACAAAAAGAAAGAGAAACAAATCATACACGATAAATAAAATTTGTGAATAAAAAATTACATTACAATGTAAATTGCAACTATTAAACATAAAATATTAGTTGTAATATTATCAATGCCAGAAAAGTCAGATGTGCTCTAGAATTTTTGACAATTTCACAAATACTTCTACAACATCAAAAACAATAAACGACTCTAAAATATTAATTATTTCTCATGCGCCTAGTAATTCGAGTACCACATCCTACACTTTAGGGGAATCAAACTTCAGACCAGAGGGGACTTACGACTGACAATCAAATGCCCGACCAATTGATCTGAGTATTTAGCATATATATATTTAAAATTATTAATTTAAGCGGTTGAAAATAGCATTTATGTTGGGATGACCGTGCATCTGACAGTAGAAGCGAACGGACGGCCAGAAGAGAAAAAAGTTTTCTCCGACTTCCCCCAAATGGACTTGAATGCCAAAAAAATGTTTAATAAATCTTCAACCTGATTAAGCAATTGTTATAATGCATGAACTTCGAACTTTCTACCGGCATGAAATTATATATTATTGGCCGTCCGATCAAAAAATCGAATTCTTTCGTCGAATCGCATGTCAGAGGCAATCCCTGCTTTTGATTTTATTCTGGACTAATTGCAATTATGTTTTGTCTCTTTCAAAAATAAAAAATATATATATTTTCATATGTGCCGGCTTCTCCAAGTTGGGAAATTTACAATTACATACATACCACACAATTCCTATGTATTTACATATCGACCACATGAATTTTGATATTTACATTGACAGCAGTTTGGCGTCATAAATTTAAGCATGAAAACATGTATTTTACTGTTAAAAATTAAATAACAATGATGTTCAGGAGGTTAATATTTGTGTATGTATGTAAATATAAAAAAAATTAAATATTGAATATATTGATGCATAAGAGTTGAAAGGTATTTATGTAAATGGAGAAAAATTTGCGTACGTAAGTATATCAGAAGGTTACACAAAGGGTATTGAGAGGTTATAACTGCGTTATACCCCCTATAACCTTATTGTAACCTCCCTATAACCTACATGTACCTTCTAGTAAATTCTGCGCTTCTGTAGGTTACAGATAGGTTATAGGAATGTTACAAGGAGATTTCAGAGGGTATAACGTAGATATAACCCTCAAATACCCTCCCTGTAACCTATTGACGTACGCAGCGCACGTACACAAATTTTTTCCATGTAAATGACCCCCGTGAATTATTTTGTTTTCGGGTTGGGCACTAAACTTTTGATATTACAAATAGTAGACAAGTAGATTCGGTATGTCTACATTTCAAATTATAAATATGTAGATTTTGATAGGAAACTAGGATAAAGCCACATTTTACCAAAGCGGTATTTACAGACATGCCACCCAACCAATGTATTTACATATCTAACAACTATATTTAATTTTTTTATATTTATACAATCCAACTCTTTCATTGCACATTAAAAAAATCATCATTTTGAATTTTAAAAAGTGATGCCTTTTTCATGTACGTAAAAATTGAAGTTTACATGAGTGGTATGCATGATAAATCTTCCTTTATTAAATTGTAGGGTTATTTTTTTTTTATTTTGTAATTGTTTTTTTCTTGCCATAAGCTGTTCTTATATTTAAATAAAGGAAAATTTACATACATACCACTCAATTCTTATGTATTTACATATTTAACACGTCATATTTAATTATTACATTTATGCCACCTAGCTTTTCATGAAGATGTGTATTTCACTTTTTAAAAGTTAAAATCATGATATTTTCGATACGATATGAAGAATTTGAGTGGTATAATTGTAAAAAATAAACTGAGGTCTAGAAATGTAAATATATAGGAATTGGTTGCTATGTTTGTAAATGCCCCTTAAATAAAATATAAATCAATAATGTCATATATACTATTTAAGTGTGTGTTTGGGGTAGCGGTGCGGTGGTGTTGTTGTGACATGCGGCAAAACTGTGTTTTGTTTGTTTGGTTTTTTTTTAAAGCTACGGCGGGAAATTGCATTTTGCAACATTATTTAGCTAAATGCGGTGATTGCATGTAAATTACAATTTGAATCAAGTTAACTTTATAACAAAAAATAGGTTTATGATACTCCTTAACATTTGTACATAAAAATTGTGCTAGCATGGATCTCAAAGAGATCTAACAGATCATAAGGAAAAAGTTCGACAAAGAACGATCCATTACCAAGACGATGTGAGTCCCACTTGGTCGACCAAGAGATGCTGTCCGAGCCAACCCATCAAAGCCAAAAACAATCGAGCCACGAGGAGGAAAAAAAGATGACCAGATGAGCTAAGTTTGAGCCATTGGATCAGAAATTAGACAAAAAAACATTCGAGTCAATCGCTACAGAAAAACTGATTGGATGCGATAGAATGCTTTCTAGTAGAATCGATCTAAGGGAAGATCCATTTCATATCATCTCAAACCAAAGAAGTAAAGCTCCAAAAGCTTCTGATCATGTATCAATGATCGATAACCAGACTACATATTAGTCAACCAACTCATACAAATCAAGCTCAGGCAACCAAGCTGATCCCATCGAGTCGAATCCAACTAAAATCAACAATGGAGCTAAAAAACAACTAGACAATACATGCACATGTATTATCACTGTACATTTTCTTCTATAAATTAGAGAATTATTTTATGGATAAGTACTCTTTCTTCAATAAGTTAGAGAATCATTTTATGAATAAAACACGATGTATTACACTTTATTTTCTCTTTTTCTTCATCACTTTCTTTCCTTAAATTTTTGTCTCTATAGAAATCAAATTGTCATAAACTATTTACACAGAGCCGTTTTCAACCTAGAGTTTGATGAAACATCAAAATAGTGGAAGAATTCTTAAATTAGGGCTGAAATAGTCTCCAAAAAGAGCTATTTGATCTCAAATTTATAATATTTGATTGACTATTTTTTAAATAATTATATTACATTATTAATCAGTTCATTAAAAATTAAATTGCATTCCTTACATTTGGGTTTAAATGCGGACGCGTTCTCATTGCAAGAATGCTTACTTTTCTCTTTAATCTTTAATTTATCAAGGAGGTTTTCAGTCAGAAATGGCGAGCCATTCCCATTCAATTCCAGATCTTCTTCTACTACGGTTTCCTGAGAAATTTTGCCTGTATTGATAGTTTACATTTTCATCCGTTTTCGTAGAATTCTAACTTAGGATTAGGGTTTGCCATCATGGAAACATCCGGCGGAAATTCCGATGCTTATTGGACCTCGCGGGCTGCCGGAACCGGTGGTGGCATGAGGAGTTACTCGACGCAGTTTTCGGCTTCAAGCATCATCCAGGCACCGCTGACTGCTCTACTAGAGTATTCCGGATTCCTGCGGCCTCGATCAAGCAACCATACGGAGAGTGCGGGTTTGCTTGCTGGTGAAGCCAACGGCGGCCGGGCGGAACATGGTTCCGCTCAGATGGAAGGATCTTTGAGTTCGAGTTCTGGAGGTGAAGGGGAGGTGTTGATAAGGATTATTCCATCGGGGGATCATGAGAACCAGACTCATCCGTCGACCGGCGAGAATGGTGTTTCTGAGGATGCGATTCCTAGGGTTTCTGGTGATGTTGGAGTTGGAGATGATGGAGGGAGAGAGTATCGCGTTCGGGAGGTTGGTGGATCGCCAGCCTCTGCTAATACGCAGAGCTTGGATGATGATGTGAACCTTGCGGATGCTAACAATAGGGAGTCATCTTACCAGAGATATGATATTCAGCAGCTTGCGAGATGGGTTGAGCAGATACTACCTTTCTCGTTGCTTTTGTTGGTAGTGTTCATTCGACAGCATTTGCAAGGTATTCCTATTACTAGTTACATTCTTATTTTGAATAATTAATTATGCCATGATTAGAATTTACAATATGGAGATTGTGCATGCAATTGATATCTTTGAAGTGCTTCTTTAAAGTGGAGAGTGAGTAAATACGTTATAATCTGTTTAAGACATGACAACATGAGAAGGTTGTCTATCTCCGAATATCACTTAGCAATAAGGTTGTAAATGAACTGAGACAAGCCGAGTATTGCCTTGTTTCAAATCTTATCAGTTGAGAGCAGAGCACGAGCATGAACAAAGTTCTAAAATTTTGTTTATTATTTTTCTTATCAAGTTTGAGTCTTTATCTAGCTTCAAGAAAATCTGAATGATTATATATGTATTACTAATAATTGACACTTATGGCCTTACTAGACATAATGGAAGAAATATCAATTTTAATAAAAAATTGATATAATTCTTTGCATATTATTTAAGTTGTTTTATTAAGTTCAAATCTAAACATCTAGGTATTTACTTGATATTTTCGTCATATATATACCTCTAATAAGATGCATACTTTTTTACGGTGCAAATGTTATGAGAAAATTTATATAAAAACGTGTCTTAAGTCATTAAATAAGCAACTAACTATCATTAAATGAGCATGAGTTCTCAGTGAGCAACTTTAAAGCAAGAAACAAAAACTAACATAAATGAACAAGCTAGTTGGTGTTCAAGCTTGTTCATTTATATGATGAGCATTTACACTTTTATTCAAGCTTTGTTCAATGATGTAACTAAACAAGCTTAATTGAGCTTTAATATGCATGGGTGTCATCCACGTCATGTGGTGCACTTATTCGATTACAGCCTGATGTATCCGGTTAAATTTGTGTTTTACGTTTTACAAATTCTACGATTGTTTCTTAACTGCGAAGATATACATTTGCTGTATTCATGTACTATGAAAACGTAACATTGTATTTTGATCTTAAAGCTTGGTTACATATTAACCCAGGATAATTATTTAGATTAAAATGGGTGTTCTGTTAAACAAACATGCTTTTCATTCATAGTTTGTATGAGAAAATGGACTCAGAATCTTTGCTTTATTATTTTGAGCACTGGTGATTGTTCCAAACCAGTTTTCTTTATTTCGAATATGTTTGCTACAACATTTCTTTTTAGTCGTATTTTAAACATTTACATAGATCTGTGAATTACTTTTACATTCTCCATTATTTTAAACATTCTTTTTGTATTAGTAGCTGTGAGGGTAAAATTTGCCTTTTTAAGACTATCCTTTAGATGACTGCTTTATTTGTTCTGGATAAATATGATTTGATTTGGACTTTTATGGATAAATTCAACCTACAATCACCTCATCCAATGCTGGCTAAACTATTCTATTGTTAGAGAAAAAAATCCTTGCTATTTTTGGCCTATCTTGTGTTTTATTCATAACTACAATTGTCTCTACATGTGTGACAGGATTCTTTGTCACTATCTGGATTGCAGCAGTCATGTTCAAATCAAATGATATATTGCGGAAGCAAACTGCTTTGAAGGTGCAACAATCTCTGCTGCATCATTTTTTTTTTTTGGAAAATTTTAACAATTTTTGTTTAAAGTAGAGGCCTTTTTGTAGTTAATTATTGATAATATGAAAGCAAATTAAAATATAACTGAACTATGTTGAATAATATATACAATATTTCATTAAAATTAATGGTGATTGATGAAGTCTCAAGCATCTCACTGAATAGTTGGGGCAAAGTTGATTTAAAGTTTAAAAAATATCAATAGAGCTTTTGCAAAAAGAGTTTTCATGTCCTTATACATATTAGTAATACAAGACGTCGCACCAATGGGACAAATTAGGTCGCACATTTGGAAGATACCAAGATAGTCTTCAACAACTTGATATGAAAATTTGGTTGTTGTGTGCATCATTGAAAACTAGATTCTACAACATCAAACTGAATAAGACATATAACACATGAAAAATTGATACAATGTGAAGGCATTAACTCCCAAATTCTGCTACAACCGATCATACAAAAGTTACGGCTCTTGCGAGTAGAATTTCTAATAACTAGAAATAAAGATCGAAGGTGAAGGTGTTCAACCAGTGACTGAAGCTACAGTAAAAAAGGATCGACAACTCTGGTTATAATAGATTTTCATTGCAAATACGAATAATAGCCATTAGAATATTAACAACCCATTCCATCCATTATTGGAATTGAACTGGACCAATAAGGAAAACAACCAAAAAATAAAGAATAATAACACATGCATTTAGACAACACAATTCACTCTTCATTGTGATAGTCACCGTTTAGCATGTTAACATCAAAATAAATTAGAGGCATTTACATAGCACACAATTCTTATGTCTTTACATATCTCACGCCTCCATTTTTATATTTAAACACAGCACTCACGTTCTTAACATCACATAAAAAATATCACTATTTATATTTTTTAAAAGTGAAATACACCTTTTCATGCTTAGGTTTAAAGCATCAAAGTGTTATGTATGTAAATATAAAAGTTTAACTGTGAGCTATGTCCATACATAAATAAGAATTGTGTGCCATGTTTGTAAATTTCCCATTAAACTAATGTAAAATTATACTTATAGAATTTATTATTATTTTTTTTAAAACAGCATTAGTAACTTCCAAAACTCAGAATATCAATGCACTCATCTCAATGCTGTGTTTCTGTCCACATCAACTCTGATGTTTGCATCAACTAATGAACTAGTTTTAAATTTTCACTCTATTGTAGCGTTCATCCATCACATTTTCATTTTTCTTGTAAAATTATAGTTTCATTTCTAGGGTTTTTTTTATAAAGAACATAATGAAACCATCTCTGAAGTATTTGTTAGCCCTTCTTTTGCCTGTGTTTAAAGACTTATTCAGATGATACTCAAACGCATTCTTTGTTATATTCTTTATTGAACTTGCAGGGGGAAAGGAGAATGTCAGTTCTTGTTGGAATAACAGTGGTTTTCATGCTTCATGTCTTTGGCGTCTACTGGTGGTATAGGAATGATGATCTCATGAATCCACTGGTGCTTCTTCCTCCAAAGGAAATTCCACCATTTTGGCATGCTATATTTTTTATTTTAGTCAATGGTATACTCTCAACTTTTCTCCTTTGTTTATGGATCTTGTATTTTATTCTACGAGTATTTATTTTTTTGTATTATGATACGTCTCGGCACCAAAATCAGCAAACAAAACACGACAAAATCACAATAGATTGGTGGAAAAACACAAATAAGGGCGACTTTTACTACAATCAAAGGAAGAAACAAGCAAGATACAAAGATGATCTACTTTCGAGAGGTAGATCAGCTCTCGCACACCCTAGACGTCGCTAGCAAGAACACCAAAAGGAAAAAAACACAGCAGCTATAAAATAATGCATGAAAATAAAACAATCCCTAGGTTTCTCCTTAAATAGAATCCTCATACAACATCTAAAAACTTTCCTTCTAAAGTTCCCTCCAAAATCCTCTCAATTTCTCTTCCTTGAATATGTGATTATTGCCCAAGTGGACCCCACCCCCTCCTTTCCTTCCTCTGCACCTCGCTCGGGTTCTTCTCCTTCTTCTCGCGATAAAAGCCAGCCCGCGTGTGGGCTGGCTGTGTTGCAATAGGCCATTCCCTCCCGGACCGGCTCGTCTGTGGGTGTAACATAATACTATTTGTAGCTATAGGAGTGGATTAGCTTTTGAAGAGAGGCTTTATTAGCTTGATGCTTTCTTTCTGTATAATGCACGAATCAAAATTTCTTATTTAGGCCATTGATGGGAACTATTAGACAGGTTGTAAGCTTACACACACACAAACACCAACACGTAAAAAAAATATTATGTTTTATGTGTGCGATGCATGTAGTGTAATAGCTCAAACTCTCATCCATTGAGATATTGTCCACTTTGTCCTAATGAGCTCACAGTTTAATCCCATTTGTATAATTTCTCATGAGATCACCCATCTTAAGAGTGCTCTAGCATGAGCACCCTTAACTTCGGAGTTTTTAATGAAATTTCAACCATTATACCAAAAGGTACTTCGATGTTTAAGAGTTCAGCTTCATTCAACTTGAGGGATTTCACAATTTTACCCATTTAAGTAACTAATATCCTCTAGGCATATATGATTCCAGTGGTGGCCCTCTAAATTCAAAATGTGTCTCCCACTATATATCATTTTGTCTCATCCAGGGTTTAAGACGTGGCTCCAATGGCGTAGTATTATGTTGACACTTAGTCTCCATTTTCAAGTTCGTGTAATATTGTGATACTATTTCTAACAACCCAAATTCTAATCCATCATCATATTCAAAATGTGTCTCTCACTATATATCCCATCAATGTACCTTTCCAGGAGATCACCCATCCCAGGAGTGCTCCCACATGAGATCACTTAACTTTGGCGTTTCTGATAAATTCTAATCGTTATACCAAAGTGCGCTTTAGTGTTTAAGTGTTTAGCTTTATCTACTTAAAAGGGGTTTCACATGTAGTCTTTGCTTGGGCTGATGCATTGAAGGAACTACGGAAAGTGGATATTATTGGATGGTCTCCCAACTAAACCAGCTTCATCTCACTCGGTTTTATAGTAATATGTTTACGCCCTATGGAACCGGTGCTTTTGGAAATCATCTCACCTCAACAAATTCATATAAAGAGGACTGTTCAACTCAAATCATTGTAGCTCTCCTTTTCATTATCATTCGTTCATCTTGTTTTAGAATCATTTATACAAGTTTGAAATTATTTCCATTGTTAGGTTAAGCCTTTGGTTGTGATTTTCATGGTATTAATGTGATCACAGTTGTTGGATGTCATTATTTAGATGCAATAAATGTTGTTTTGTGCCTTTTTGCAGCTTAATATATATTTTCAGAAATGTCAGTAGGATTTTAATAGTTCCTTATTTTCAGATACTATGGTTCGACAGGCAGCTATGGTGATCAAATGCATACTTCTAATTTATTACAAGAACAGTCGTGGTCGTAGCTACCGTAAGCAGGTAATCTGCTTTTATTTTGTTCTCAAAACTTTTGACATTTGAGTCCATGAATTTTATTTTTTTCTTGCAAATAACTAGAGCTTGGTTTCTACCTATCATCATCTAGAATACCTTCACAAAATGGGTAAAGTGTCAAAATAGTCCCTTCATTGTTTTCATGGGTCATTTTAGTCACAGAGTTTATAAAATTGTCAATTTAATTCCTGGATTCTTTAAATTTAGGCCAAAGTAGTCCTCCCTTGAGACTATTTCAGCCCAAATTGTCAATTTAATTCCTGGATTCTTTAAATTTAGGCTAAAGTAGTCCTCCCTTGAGACTATTTCAGCCCAAACCAAATTAAAATAATTTGGGGACTAATTTCACACTTTATTGCCTCTGAGACCTAAATGACCATCTGAAAAGAGTCAGAGGAGTATTTTTGACACTTGGCTTTTCCCCAAATGCTGTCCAGGTTCTTCTGATATAGAATTTATTTGTGCTCTAATTAATAAAGGCCTGTAGAAGAGCAGAAATCATAGCATTCATATCGTGACTTGGAAGTTCAGTATCATTTTTCTGCCTTCGCATGACTTGCATTGTTATAAGAAATGACAGCTATCAGATGATGATAAAGCAACTATGCATAAAAACTCAAAATTAATTCATGAATACTTATGGAATCTTAGTTGATTTACTTCAGCCTTGTTCTCCTTTTGTGAGGTATTTTGTTGAGCCTTCAATTTACTCATCTTGTGTCTAACTCTGGCATTCCTTTAACAGATGCGCGTATGCTATTTGATATTTGGGTATGGGAGGAGATGCGAACATATTCATGCTTGTAGGATTTATTTTTTGCGAGTGAAATAAATTTTTTAATGTATAGGTTTATCACACCGAAGTATTATTCACCTAACTATGAAAATTTAGGTGTTAGATAAATAAATACAGAAGAACTATGTGATATGTACGCAAATTTTCCTAAAATTATTGTATTTTTGTATGCTGTGTTATTATTATTATTCTTTTTTTTTCTGCTTTTTGCTTTTGCGTAGATTTTGCCTATTTTCCAACATGATATACCATAAATAACCATTGCATTAAGTACAATATTTCCATCTTGGGAATAAGTTGAATCTCTATTTTGCTTTCAGGGTCAAATGCTAACGCTTGTGGAATATTTTCTCCTCTTGTATCGCGCGTTATTGCCAACACCAGTTTGGTACAGATTTTTCCTGAACAAAGAATATGGAAGCTTCTTTTCCTCTCTTATCACTGGACTATACTTGACTTTCAAGTTGACATCTGTTGTGGAGAAGGTAATTAATATTGTTTCCATTTAATTCATGAAGATTTACATACATACCACTCAATTTTTTCGAAATATATGCTACCTTATCTATGCAAGAAAGAGTGGATTTCATTTTTTTAAAAATTAAAATGGTGGTACTTTTGATCTGATATTAAAAACTTGGTTTGTATAAATGTAAATACATAAGGATTGCATGTTATGCACGGTAGTGCCCCTTTAAATTATTCTAATTTCTACCCAGTAAATTAAAATTTTCAACATGCTGTATTGATTGTAATTATCAGTTGGGGGAGCCAATTTTAATTTCGTTCAATTCGTGTGCCCCGCAGGTTCGATCTTTCTTTGCTGCATTGAAGGACCTGTCCTGTAAAGAGGTGCATTATGGCTCAAACGCAACAGCTGAACAGGTTGGCAATCTCCCTTTAAACTAGTATGAAAGAATTCTTATGCCAGAAAAATCTTTCATTTGTCACCCATTTATCTTATTTATGATAACTTCAATATAAACATATATTTTCTCCTTAAGGTTATCCAAATAACTTCTAACATGCTCAACATATTATTTTCTCAATGTTGTCCTAATAACACTTTCATGGTACTCCATGAAAAAAAAAAAGGGGCCAAGAGATAAGGATGGGTGAATTTGCTTCAAGATTAGTGCAATATATATGATCAATCAGAATTACAATGCACCCCATCTCAAAGCAATTCGAAAGAATTTAATATCCATATCAAGATTTTATCATGACATCTTTTGATTGGAAATTCTTTCATGTTTTATTTATGGTACAGCCTACATAGAGATCCTTTATAGATAGACTTCTCTTTTTTTCTTTTTTTAATTATGTGCCTTATTACATAAGTACCTTCTCTTGTTGAGGTTTCTTATCTAAGCCCACAATTATTGTCATAATTAGTAAAATGATCAAACAATGTGGAGCTGCTTATGGTGCAGGTGATTGCAGCTGGTGATCTGTGTGCTATATGCCAAGAGAAGATGCATGTGCCCATTCTCCTTCGCTGCAAGCACATCTTCTGCGAAGACTGTGTTTCCGAATGGTGAGACCTAAACTCTCCATCCATCCATCTAACACCTATGTATTTACAGAAATAGCAGCCACTTCCTATGTATTTGCATATCTAACACCTATTTTTTATTTTCTTAACATTGATACCGTCATTCTCATTTTATTTTTATTAATGGTAAAATTGTTTTGTTTTAAATTTTTTTGTTATTATAACTTTTATAGGTTTGATAGGGAGCGCACATGCCCGCTGTGTAGGGCTCTAGTGAAACCAACAGGCCTTCGGTCATTCGGAGATGGTTCTACAAGTTTGTTTTTCCAACTGTTTTAATATTTGTACAGTGATGCTATACTTTTATTATTTTAAACTTCAGAGGTGAATGAAACTGTTCCATCCCTTCCCTGCATTATCTCATATCCGCTCTTTGATGAAAAAATATTGCATCAGGACTCTGCACGTAGTGTTACGTTCAGAGCCCAATAAAATCACGCAACATAGAAGTGACAAGAAAAAAAAAAAAAAAAACGGCCCGGTAACACCGGAGAATATTCTCGTGTTATTCTGTGTTATTTCAAGTGTTATTATATATTATTCATGTGTTATTGTGTTCTAGAATATTTTCGGTGTGATAATAACACAATAACATATCAATAACATTTGAATAACACATGAATAACACAAAATAATACCTGAATAATACGGGAGGAATATTCTTTTGTGTTATTGAACAAATTTTTTTTTTCTGTTACGGTCACGTGGTGTGATTTCATTGGACTCCATACCTAACTCTACGTGCGTAATCTTGATACAATATTTTCTCATCTTTGATCAATATTTTTTTTTTTTCGAAGTTATTTTAATCTGCCTTTTTAATATGGGTGTTATGCACCTGAATAAAATCGTCAACTGATCGTCACTTGTTAAAAAACTCAAGTATTTATACTTGTCCGATTAAATTTAAAATTTAAAGAAACAATCAAATGATTATTTGCAATTTCAAATTGATTACATGATTACAAGTCTTAGCAGTTCGTGCCCTACGCCTTTGTCCACTTGGTGATTGTCTCCCTCAGAATCCAATTATTTCTTTTTTTTTCCATTTTGGGAAAAAGTGGGCTAAAAAAGTAATAGTCAGAATTCAAAATTACGAGGTCATGATAAAAAACTATAACATAATTACTATGTCATATGTATATACACACAATTCTTATATATTTATCATCAAACATTTAAACTTTTTATATTCACGTGCATGATGCCCATATTTTAAACATCCACGTGCATGATGCCCATATTTAAGAAATCTCTTACTAATTTTAGAACAATGTAGATTATCTTTCATAAGTTTACATATATACGTGTTAAACTTCTAGTGTTGGATATATAAATACATAAAATGATGTGATATGTATATAATTATGTAATATGAAATTTAAAATTTCATTTTTTTACATTTTTAATGATTTAAAGATGGTTTTAAATTTTCATACGAGTGCTATATTTTAAATTAGCACACAATTCTCGTGTATTTACATAACTCACACCTAAATTATCTTACTAATTTTTAAGCATGA